TAAATTTATTTACACTTCTGTGGATATTCTGTTTATTCACGAGCTTTCGTTGTTGCGTGTTCGAGTCGCGATGATTTTTATTCAAATGAAATGTCGTAGAAACGTGGGCCGAAAGCCTGCGTACCTATTTAAACAAAATACTTATAGGCGAATGCCATCCTTTGGCAAATATTGGCGTTGCCTGCTCGAGTAAGGGCGCAATGAATAGTAGAGCGCAAGCCGAGACACGCCTCTCGAAAACACCAACGCCTCCGCCGACACACACACACACACACTCTCACATACACAATCAGCGAGTGAAATGCGCTATATATATGTACATACGTATATTGGGTACATTTATTTCAAGCAGCTCCTGCTGCAAAGGATGTGCCCCGGCCCAGGCAGTCGCATCAGTCGAAGAAGATGTTGAAGAAGTACCTGTACTTGTCAACGGGCGACACGAGCGTGAATAATGCCTGGACAGCAGCTGCTGAATAATACAGGCCACTCGGAGTTGGCCAAGAGCTCGAGGTTCAGCCAGCACAATTCACTGGCATGTCAGCCCCTAACACAGCCATAAATATATTTTCAGTTAATTTCAATTACAGAACGTGCTGACTCTGGCTCCCAGCTGAACGATTGCCCTTTACCCCCAACGACTCCGTGCGTGTGTGTGTGTGTGTGTGTGTGTGTGTGTGGGGTCATAAAATTTGATGCGTGCCCTATCGAAACGACGTTGCTATCTATTATAATTTAACGCAAAGCCGCTAAAACTTTCATCCTGGACGTCAATCAATCAACGACAAGCGCACAAATTAAATGCAAACTAAGACAACATAAAACCAAAGCCAAAACCCCGTCGACAATCAGTCAAGAGCCAAGAGCCAAGAGTCAAGATCCGGGCAGCACGACCAACTGCAGCAGCCCGTTGACTCTCCAATTAACTTTCCAATCCCAGCCACATTTGCCATAAAGCAACAATGTGAAAGCATCGTTTAATCGGCGCCCGCTTAGATTAGATACCGATAAGGTCACGCCTCCTGCTCCAGTTGCCGCTGCTCCCGCAGCCTGATGGGACTAGACTATTAACTGCCAATGATATATGTGGTAATAGCTACGCTTTTTTTGAGAACCTGGGAAAAGCCCTTTACTCTTTGGAATTTTCGGTTTGGTTTTATTACTGCTGGCTTACAGTGTGTAATGTGCATAATTAGCTCAGTGAAGCATTTCGCTTGATGATATGCATATATTTATGGCAGCTGCTAGTCGATTAGTTCATTTATTAACCAAATTAAGCTAATGTTGGGAAAGCAACTCTACACTTGAATTCAAAAGTAGTTGAAGTCTGAAGGGCAATCTGTGATTTTGTTTCTTACTATTGAGAGCTGAAAAATTTCCAAATAGCAGCTGAATTCTATAATGAAATTTGTATTTCCTACATTGTTGTACATTGAATAATTATTAAATAATTTTTTAATTTTGCTTGAATAATTATTTTTTAGTAAATTGAATATGACAAATCTGACAAATTTTAATATTTTAATTTAATTTTTTCTTTTATTTTTTGTTGTTGTAAATTGACTGAATATAAATGGACCTAAGACTTTATAGGCAATATATTTTACGAGGTAGATGAAAAATCTGTGCAAAAGAAAATTAAGTGGAGTAAACAATATGAAACACAAAGGCCTAAATACCACTCTAAAGACTTCAGTCAGATCAAAAGACAACTAACTAGAGTTATCTAAATTCACTTTCAAAAGCCTCTAATTAATTCAATTTTTATTGTAATCGATATATCACAAACCACACAGAAACCACCCGATCCACCCATTTCTGGCAGTGTATACGCATGTGATTGCTTGTTTCAGAGCTCTGACAGCGCATAAGTTGAACCTCTTAAGCAGCAAGCGCAAACAGTGCCAAGCAGCATCATATAGTCTTATCTCTCCCCTCTCTCTCTCACTCTCTTCCGCTCACTAAGGTCTCTCTCAAGTGCGGCTCGTGCATTGGTTCGCAAGTGCAATTCGCAGCCACTTAAGTACAACAGCAAACATATCCATAAGCTTTACTATCATTATACAGTATCGCTTTTAAAGCACACCCACACACTCTCACACACACTCACACTCACTCATGCATTTTTGGGCTGGCGTTAAAAATCCGTGTGGTACAATGCGGCGTATGCGTATTATCATTATAATGCCTGCTTTAGGAGCTCGCTGTTGCCGCCTACCGCGAGCTACCTCTACCTCTGGCTCATTTGCCGAGCTGCAATGGCCCATTAATAGGCCATAAATTGTAACTGTTATGCGTTGTTGGCTTTTAACGCAGCGGTTGGCATTTGGCATTCGAACTTGGCCTGCCACCGGGAGCTGAGTGCTCGGACAGCCCGGCTGACTGCTCGGCCGCCCCACCGCTTTCAATTAGAGTGGTTATTTAGCTAAATCGTTACGCTTGTTGGTGTAATTTGAGGCGTAGGCGGAAATGATTGCCAACAACATCAGCAGCAGCAGCAGGAGTAGCAGCAGCAGGAGGAGCAACAGAAAAGGCACCCACTGCGTGCCCCAGGGAAAACAGGGCAACACGGCGCTTTAACTTAATTGATCCACGCACTTCTCTTGCCTCAGCTGCCCGCACATTTTTCACATTTTTCACTTCGTATTCACATTTCGTCTTTTGCCTTGCAGGAACATGGCTCAGTCGGGAATCAGCTCGAGTTGCGCGACGCAGAGTTTTGGGCTGTTGCTGCTGCTGCTCTTTCTGCACAGCAGCCGGGCAGCCGCCATGGCGAGTGGCCAGAGTGGCAACAACAATGAGCTGGCCGCCACGGGACTCACTGATCAGGTGGTTGAGCAATTGGGCGATAATGATCTCTACAACAACAAACGCGCTTGGCAATCGCTGCAGAGCTCATGGGGCAAACGCTCGTCGAGCGATCCGGCTGCCCTGGAAATGGATGACTCGATCTATATGACGGGACACTTTGTGCCGCTGGTCATCACCGACGGCACCAACACCGTCGACTGGAACACCTTCGAGCGCTGGGCCAGCAACAATCAGGAGCAGCAACTGCAGCAGCAGCAGCAGCAGCAGCAGCCATCGAATTCCCTTGAAGACGCCGATGAGTTCAACTCGGAGAATGGCATGGAGAAGCGCGCCTGGAAGAACATGAACGTTGCCTGGGGCAAGCGGCGTCAGGCACAGGGCTGGAACAAGTTTCGAGGTGCCTGGGGCAAGCGCGAGCCCACCTGGAACAATCTGAAGGGCATGTGGGGCAAGCGCGATCAATGGCAGAAGCTGCACGCTGGCTGGGGCAAGCGCTCCCTCAACAACTAAACTTATCTCGCTCAGCCCCCACACCCACACACATAGGCAACAAAATAACAATGGATGCAACACTTAACTATATATAAATATCAAATATCTGTGTATACAAATATACGAAATCTAAGATAACTTATTTCCCCAGTAGAGTCTCTCGATGTTCTAGCAAAAAAACAAAAAACAAAAACAAAAAACCAAGGATGTAGGTCAAATTCCGAAAATGTATGAAAGCGCTCGCCACAAAAACAACAACAAGAAGGAGAAGAATAATCAAAAAAACGAAAAATTACCAAAGTATTTGTAATTTGCCTAAGTATATATATATATAAATATATATTTATGTCTTTTTGGTAGCTGAAGCCAGTATTATAATCCAAGTATATAATCAAAACACACACATACACACACACACCTATACCAAGTTGAAACTCGGAACATGACACTAGTTTCTAGAAACAAGAAAAAACTTTAACTTAGTTAATCGAATTGTGCATATTTTTTAAATACGTATACATACCAGGAAACAAAAGCATGGCAATTACTATATACATACATACATATATGTGTATATATATATATGAGTATATATATATGACTAAATCAAATTATCTAAATAAATTAACGAAAATCCATCAATATACAGTGGCTTGAATTTATTGTTTATTTGAATTGTTATGGGACTTTAACGGGAATCTGATTGGAAAGGGGGCACATAATGAAAGCCAATAAGAATTTGGATGCCTTTTAGCTGTGAATTTTGGGACTTACTTTTGACGTATGTTTGGGGTTCGGATTGTTTAAAGGATGTTAATATCAATACTTACTTCACTTTTATATATTAATTAATTATTTAAATATTTTTCCAGAAGCTCGGCTCTCCTGTTGATATTGGTATAAATAAAATATTTACACTTGAGTACCTACAAAACAAGCCAGGTGGCTCAAATAATATTGCTCTGTTAGCCTGCCAAAAACTAAATAAAACCCTAAAAAAAAGGTTTAGTTCCCTAACTTTATATATTTTGTATTTGATAGCTACATATAAAGTGATTAAAGCTAAATTTAAATAGAAATTTTGCTTCAATATGCAAATAAATTTTATAAAATGTAACTATAAATTTATATATAAATTTTACAATACATATTTGACCAAAAATTTTAAAAGGTTAAGTATTATATGACACTAACTCGTTGATTTATTTTAATTAATTTAATTTTAGCATTCAATTTTGTCTATATATTTTTGTGGCTTTGAGAGCTGTTTTAAATTTGGCTAACGAAGCCTTCAAGGCTTCATGGAAATGCCTTGACTCGTATTCCCATGCGAGTTGTCAAATATCTTTAGAAGTCGACCCCTAAAAATAAATATCTGGTTTGAGTCGGCTTTAGTTTCTATTCCATTCTGTTCCATGCCATTTCGTGCCATTGATTCAGCTGTGAATTGAACATGTTTCATTGAGAATTTCCTTCTTGTATGAATTAATAGTATAGAATAATTAATTATTTAACACAATTAAAACGCACAAATTTAATTTTGTTTATTTATTTTCATGACTCGCTTAAAGAACTCATTAAATATGAATGATTAATAATTTAGGAATACTTAAGAGCAATTAGTTTTGATTGAGTTTCGAGTATAAATAGTTAGTTCATGTTGCAGAGGCTAACAGTTAATCGAATCAAGTCTAACTATGAGGTATTTGCCACGCCTCAAAGATGGCACACCAGCGCCAATGTCTTGGCCTCTGGCCTTGTATCGACGGCTCAATCACATCGCTTGGCCGCTGGAGGATGGCGTCAGTCGTCGAGTGGTGCTGCTCGAGCGCTTCGTCATCTTTGTGGGATTCCTGGTATTCTGCCTGCACAACGAAGTGGACATGCATTATTGTCTAGCCAATAGAAAGGATATCGACAAGATGCTCACGGGCATGCCCACGTATCTGGTGCTCTTCGAGCTGCAGATCCGCTGCTTTCAGCTGGCCGTGAAGAAGAACGCGTTCAAGCGCCTGCTGCAGAAATACTATGCGGATATCTATGTAACGGAGGAAGCGGAGCCTGTGATCTTCGCTCGCATACAGAGGCAAATGCTGGCCACTCGCCTCAACTCGGTGGCTTATCTGATGGCCCTGCTGAACTTCTTGCTGGTGCCCGTGCAGAACATAATTCACCATCGCAGGGAAATGCTCTATAAGCAGGTCTATCTCTTCGACAACACGAAGCTGTATTTCTTTATACCGCTAATCTGCGCCAACTACTGGGTGGGCATTATCATAACCTCGATGCTCTTCGGGGAGCTGAATGTGCTCGGAGAGCTGATGATGCACCTCAATGCGCGCTACAAGCTGTTGGCACGAGATCTGCATCGAGTGGCAAAACATTTGCTGGAGAGCGCACACCCAGCCGAGATCTCTGCGAAATATAGAACAGCAGTCGTCCATATACTGCGACGCAATGCGGCTTTGAATCAATTCGGCGAGCAAATGGAATTGGAATTCAGTTTTCGTATATTCATATTGTTTGCTTTCAGCGCTGCTCTGCTGTGTGCCATGGGATATAAGGCATATACGGTATATCTCTTAGAGAAACATTAAATTCTCATTATACACTTGCTTCAGCATGCTCTCGCTTCTCTGCAGAATCCATCGGCCAATATTGTTTACATCGTGTGGTTCGCAGCGAAGCTCTGTGAACTCTTAGCTTTGGGCATGCTTGGCTCGATTGTCTACACAACAGTCAGTTTCTTACTCTTCTTATATCTCAAATATCTACATAATGATACTGAATTTGCAGACGGATCAGTTGAGCCTTATGTACTACAGCTGCGAGTGGGAGCAGATCATCCACAAGTCGAGCAATGCATCTGAAAATGTTGAACTTATGAAGCTCATTACATTGGCCATTGCAATAAATTGTCGCGCTTATTGCTTAACGGGCTTAAACTATTTTCGTGTCACTTTAGTTGCCGTGCTTAAGGTAAGCTGTTAAACTATATAAATTACATTATTATATTTATCAACTTATTTCAGATAATACAAGGCGCTTTTTCATACTTTACTTTTCTAACTTCGATGCGCTAAGTAATTCAAATTGGCGTCTTGTAGCAGTCAGCTTTGCGACGGCGCCCAATGCGTTTATAGAGCTACCATACAAATATTTATCGCTTCAGTCTATCGATAACTCATGCATTTGATATTTTATGTGTACACACTTTTTAAGGCCGCCAATTTACGGCATTTTATTTAGGAAATACACATTGTGCGCAGCTACTTTTTGCAAAACATGAATTTCTCTGGCAATAAATGGTAAATTGTGGTTTCATTAAAACTGATCAACTTGTTTTATGTACATTGATTGATATTTGCAGCTCGCCAAGTTTTCGCAGCCCCGCTGCACAGCAACAGCAAAGCCGGCAACTGTCTCGCCTCAATGTGCAGGAAAGCTTGGAGCATCGCCAGAAGCGTGCAGAGGCCAGAAACTATTTGAAATGGGGCTTTATTAACATAATTTTGTTGACATTGATCTGTGCGGATCTGTGGCAAACATGCCTCTCGATGCGCAGTACCCTATGGTATCAAGTCGAATTCTCAGTTGCCGTTTGCATTTCCCTCAGCGTTGCCGCTTGTGCTGGAAAATACTTTTGGTGGCTCTGCATTGACAACACACCACTGTGCGTAACGGAAGTGCAACGGTGTCTTCTGGACGAAGGCAATGGTAAGGAAATCATGCAAACCATCATACCATTGATAAATACGTTCCACTTTTAGATAATACCTTTCAATGCATAAAGAATCTGTCGAAGCCGCGTTCGTGTGAACCGGAATATGACGATGTCACAGGACCCATTATCAATTGGCACTCTTCATTCGAAGACTCTCGGTGGAACTCGCAGTCGACTCGCCGCAGTGTTAGTCCAATGCGCAGCCCGGTTCAACAAAGAAAGAAGCAACAGCAACAGTTCAATCAGTCCCACAATCGCTCCATTGGTAATCAATCCCACAATCGCTCCAGGGGCAATCAATCCCACAATCGCTCCATGGGCAATCAATCCCTCAATTGCTCCATGGGCAATCAATCCTACAATCGCTCCATGGTCGGAAATAACTCGCTCAATGTGAGCAATGACTCTGTCTACATGTCGCCCTATGCGGAAGTTTGTCGCGAAGATTTTCCCACTGACGTGCGAAAGCTGCCCGCATTGATGCGAAGGGCAGAGCTGGAGAGGGAGCGCAGCTATGCCGAAATGGCAGATACATCAACAATGCAGAGCATAGGAGCAACCAATTCCTTTTGGAACTATTGCAATAATGCTGCCTTCATGCTGAAGCGTACCATCTATCAATTGGCACCAGCGCCAGTGCCCTCCACAGAGAATGCGCCCTCGTCCATCGAAGACTTTGGCATTGTTCAATTCAAGGATGGCAACTCGGAGGTCATCAAGCGCATCTCAACGGTTAAGCTGTCACAGTATCTAAGCAATCTCAGATATGTAAGAATAGTCACTAAACTACCAGCTATCCATTTCTAAATCTTCTTTGCTTTCAGTGGATCTCAACGACCATATTGCAGCGCCTGGTCAAGCAGATCGATAACATGGACGAAATCTTTCGTCAGCGTGGCCTTAGCGACTTCAAGATTGGCGCCGTGGGTCTGGAGCGATTGCGCAAGATGGCAGAGAATCAACAATTCGTGCAGAGCTGCGCGCCCATGCTGCCGCTACTGTTTCCATTTCTGGACACCTTCACCAATCAGGAGTATCTAGTGCAGCGCATTAGAGATCTTGCGGAGGGCTCCTGCATGGGCGACTATCGCTGGAACTCGGGCGATTCGTACAAAGGCAAAGTGTGGGGCACTCATCTGCCCACAGACGCAGCAGTGAGTGAATTTTGAGAAGATGACTTGAATAACTTTTAATACTGTTCTTATATATCCTTCCAGATAGTGTTCCATCTGTTCTGCGTTTACTTTGACAGTCAATTGATGCCACTGCCGCAGGGTGGCGGCCGTCCCTTCTACTCACGCTATGTGCTCATACGCGAGGAGAAACGCTCCACCAAAGAGATTATAAATGCTGTAAATAACAAGGCCCACTGCGCCATACTCGTGACGAACATTCAGCTGAAGCCGAAGTTCAATTTCATCAGCGAAAAGGAACTGCACAATTGCGCCAATGATCGCAACAATTTGTTTTATGTTATCATACAGTTCCTGATTTATATGCGCAGCCATCAGGAATCGATGCTCGAAGGCGTCAATTTGGGCAAGAGCGGCATCAATATAATGTGCGTGATTGGAGACTGAACCACTAGCTAGATAGAGACATTTATAGGCATTTCTGGACTTGGCCGGTTAAGTGGAATGGCCGGCACACACACACACACAACTAAAAAAAAAATTGATAATTATTTATATATGTATGTACGTTTATTGTTACACTGGCTGGATGGACAAGCCATAGCAGAGCATATTGAACTATTAAATTATGCATTGTAATTATTAAGTCAATTGCCAAGACGACAACAACATACCCATGCACATGTAACTGTAAACATGTGCGCGGTTTTTGCGGTCAGAGCAGTCGCTGCGGCACGCTGCTTGCTGCTGGCCACAATGCATCATCATCAAAGTGTCATGTGAACTTTTGAGCGGGCGCCATCCGTTACTGCTGTTGTTGTTGCTGCTGTTGCTGTTATCCTTGCGGTCATTGCGGTCTGCGCTTTGCCAACAATTAACTTATGCCTTGGACCTCACCCAAGTCAGTTAGCTCACACACACAATGACTGTCAAGCCGTGGTCGGGCACAGGTGCAGAACTTTAATTGCTTTTTCATGATTTTCGATATATACCACATACATACACGCATACACACATTTATACATGTACATACTGTGTGTTGGTGACTGGTCAATGGCCCAAAAGAGAAGGCGACACTATACTACTACGATAACTCCCATGTGGCAGCTCCAACACAACACAGTTCGAAGAGAGTGACAAAATTAATGGCTTCCGGCAATGAGTGTCGTCATTTTGTTAAGCTTAAGAAAAGCGTTTGCAGAAAATGCTGGCTGGCTTGCTGGCCAACACGGGGCATCATGTGCCAGACCCGGCGAAAGCCGAGAAAGAGTAGAACCAGCGACTGACATGAACTCTTGACTACCTACGGCTGCATACACTTAACGCCATGTGGCATTGGCTCTCGGCTGTTGACTGCCTGGCTCAGCGTTTGCTTTTGCTTTTGCTCCTCCTGCATGGCCATTTTTCTTGGCCATGCTCATTTTAGACGGCAGGCAGGCTGGCGGCTGGCGGCTGGCAGGCAACGGCGCTTCGGTTAGCCTGTTTCTGTTTCAAGCTCTTTGTTCATTTGACGTTGAATCGCTTGGTTGGTTATTTTAATGCCGTCGTCGTTGTAGCTGGCACCTCGGGTGAGTAATGTGCTTGGGTTGTCAACTTTACACTTTTATCCCTCGCATTATGTTTGCTTTACCTACACACACACACACACACACACACAGACACAAACACATACCACCCACTCACTCACCCCATCACCTTCGCCTGGGTGATATGTTTTCTTGATACTTTTTCTCAACTTGTAAATTGGCTTAAAAATAATTTGTCAAAGCATTTCAGCGTATAGGGGATTGGGTGTGCCTGGCTGTCGCTCTTTCGCTCTCGCTCACGCTATCTCTGCCTCTCCCTCACTCGCTCGCTTGGCATTCTCGCCGCCAAATTGTGTGGTGGACCCCCCCACGAGAAGGTTAGCAAATTTTTTTTTTCTTTTAAAGAAACGCATGTGCGCGTCTTCATATCCAATTAGAAAAGTTTTCCTTCGGCTGCACCGTAATTGTGTTGATTAGTGCGGCTCGCTGGCTTCCCATAGGCAGCAGATGGATTTCACCTTTAGGTTTGGCTCCAACTCCCTGCGCCACTCCCAATCCCACTCCCACTCTCTTTCTCTCTCTTTTAGCTGTGCTAAATAAAAAACACTTTAAAAGAACTGAAACGAGATTCGAATTGCTTGTTATATTCAATCGGCTTACACAAAACTTCGATATAATATTATTCCGCCAGTCACTCCACAAAAAAAAGTTTATATATATATACATATTTTATATATAAATATCCTGCACGCTGTTGTCCTGCCGCAAAATGTTTGTACACAATAAACTGGCTAGTGGCAAAGCTTTTACTTTTCGGCTTTCCTTTTTTTTCTATTTTTTTCCTCTTTCCCTTCTGTTCTTCTCTCTTTTTTTTGCTGCTTATTTATTTTTACTTTGGTTATACCCTGTTAAGCGTGTGTAAGTAGGGTATATGAACATTATAGACAACATTTGAATTGCTTGTATACATAAGTCTATAGTATAAATATAGATTATTAATATAGATTATTATGGTATAGTATTTTAGAGACATGTGTTATATCTTATAAAATAGAAAAATATATGTTAGCCTAGTCCACTTAATTATAGTGTATTATTGTACTGCATAGTATAGCATAATATAAGATGGATTATAGTATATTATAGTACTATATGGTCTACAATAATACATATATAGAATGCTGTACTAGAACCACTCTCTCTACACTAAAAGGTAATTAACATGCAGTACCACACATTTATATCTAAGTTAGCTTAACTTACTTTCAGCTCAAACTAATTTTCATAGCACTCCCAGCGCAGCCTCAAGTCGTGCACAAGTTTTCTTCTCCCTCTCTCTCTCTCTTTTGTTGTGCCCTCTTTCTCTAGTCGCTTTCCATCTACGGCTCGTTTGGGGCGGGGTGCCACATTAATGAACAAAATATTTTTCCTATTATGCGCCAATATGGTTGCCCATATTTCGGTTTATTTAATTTTGCGCAAATAAAACGGAAGTGGCATTTTTATTTTTACCAGAGCAGAGTCTAGTGCCCGTTCCCGTTCCCTCAGACTCTCGCTTGCTCTCTTGCCTTGCCCTTTGCCTTGTCCACATTCTGCTCGTTCTTGATCCTGTCTCATATTTGTGCGCTCCATAAAATTCTGATGCGAAGCCAAACAAACTTGCGACAATGATGATAATGTCGATGCTTAAATGTTGAACA